AACGAACAGGGGTTGCGGACGGAAGGGGACGCGTATTGTCGCCTGTGTTTAATCAACTTAGCGTGATAAGGCGACGGATAGAGACGTCGAGGGGCATTATGAGATCCTTCGCACCCTCCACCGACTCTTCTACACCGAGATCTATAGGGGAAATGTACTTTCATGGTCGTCGCGAAGTCTGACGTTACGAAGTTTCCTCACTGTTACTTCGTGCGATTCAATGCGGTTGCAACCCTGTCAGTCTCTCACCCTCTGCCTTGTCATTATCGCCATCTGTAGAGCAACTCCGTTCCAGCAATCTCCAGTGTCGTCGTCGACATCAGCGTTCTCGAATGCAGTCGTGAAAGGCGGCGTGGTGCGTCGTTCTGTCGAAGGATATCGTACTTCCTTCACCTCTCGGGCGAAGTTTCGTACTGTACGATGTCGAAGTTGAATAGTAAATCTTCCGCCGCCACCTGTCTAATGCATCCACTAGGATGACGTTAAGTCTTGCCACTGCATAAAGCTACCTGTTATGCGATCGTAACGTTTATAACAACGACAAGCGTGTCATAACGTTACTTGTATGGTTCACGAGGATTTGTTCATTGAGTGGTTTTGACTCTTCTCTTATATTGGTCATCCAGAGAGTTTGTGGAATAGATCGCCATGAATTTCGACCAAGTTTTCGTCTTGATGCTCTTCGAGCTTGAAGACTGCTTAAGATGTTCTTAAGAGAAATCCTTTCAAATCATTTTCTCGTGCTATACATTTTGAATGGTTGACCGTATGGCAAATCTGTCGGAATAAATGAATAATTAGACATCATACAAAATACAATTAAACATCATTTTGTCGCTATAATTCTTGGACAATAAACTTCTAAGTGAAAACAAGAAGAAAATCAAGTTTGATAAATGCAAATGCAAATAAGAATAAAAAAGATCAAGAATAAAAGGTCATGGATAAAATAAGTGACAACTTTATTCATAAATGAATAATTTATTATTTTATGTATCATTATATTATGTTTTGTATTCTCGATTCTAATTATTAATTTTTTCACGACTACAGTATAAGAGAGTGCAGTCAAAAAATAATATATATTAGGTGTTGGAATTAATTCGTAGCGTTTTACAAGAGATGGCACAAACAGTACACTATTTCGTTGTTACCTATAGTTCTGTATACATTGTAAACATCTATCATAGGACGTCATTTGCCGTACATAACCTTTCTTGAAATCATAAAT